AGAAATCAAGATTAAGAGTTCTTTGAACACAGCGAGTATGCTGAGGATCGTACCGAAACACAGTCAAACGACTAAGGTATGTCACAGTAAAGTTTGAACCCCACTTAGACAAGTTAGGGGAAGGCAAGTTGAGAAGTTGTGTGTCCCAACAGGGTTCACTTCACAGCGAGTTAACGTCTATTGACATGCTTCTTCAACGAACTTTTGTGGCTTGGCCGTTTCCGATCATTTGGGGCAAAAAGTAGATCAAACTGACCGGTAAAGATTTGCCTGCAGTCCTCAAGAAGAAATCCACAAAAGACAGACAAAACAGTGAATTGATTTTGAACGTTTAAGTTGTTTTCGACATAAAATTCTTCTTTGAGATACTTTAATTTTGTACAGGCTAGGTGAGGCATGGGTTGATCATCATGAATCATCGATCAATATTTTATTCCATGCAATTGTTCTTCTCATTTCTTCGTCATTTTCAACCCTTTTTGACAATTGATTAGCTCAAGGTTAAGTATTGTACCCTGTTCACTTGGACCTGATGATAACCTTCACGTAGTTCTTTTATCACGTTTTCCATCATCTCTGGAAGACCATAGGTGTGACTGCATGCCCTTGTTTAGCAAAAAAGTTGATAATTCCCTGTTTCAACCAAATCTCTTTTACCTTTGTTTTGTCATTGGATACATGGCTCTACTCGTGCTTGTTTACTTCGACACCAGTGATACTTTTGGGCTAAGCCCAAAATTTCAAGTACGAAAAAGCTGACATGTTTCCTGAGTCTATATCATCAAGGGCTCTGTGAATTCAAGCATGATGCCAACTACGAATTCACGGATTGGGCAGTTTTATTATGAAGAGTAAGTTTAGCTTAATAAACTAATAGTTGAGTCTAAATTTAATACAGATATAATCATCAATTTTTTTAAATTAATTTTTATTCAAGCTCTTTGAGTAATGTACAGAAATTTGATGTTTCTGGCTGAGAAAATTATCTAATTTAAGTTTCTATGGTGAAAACTTTAGTGGTAATGCAGGGGTAAATCATATAACGATGTTATACTGTCTAACTCTAAATTACATTAACAAACACATCGCAACAATTATTAACTCTATTTGCAGTTTCAACGTAGGTAAGTTATTTTGGGTTGTGACGACGGTTTACGTTATGAAATTTCTGTTCTTTGTACTCTTGTAAGCTGTCTTTGTAAACTACTTTTTTAAAATTTGCGTTAACGATTTGCAATAGTGTTTTCGTGCTTGCAACACAACTCAGAGGTAGAACACTTTCGAGCGAGGTCAAAACATTTTGGTGTCGCCGTGGTGTCGTTTTGGCAGTCTTATATACTCATCTCTCCAAAAATTCTCTCGATTTTTCTCTCGGTATATAACATAGGTATCTGTATTCTTAGCATGTGCTTTATTAGTTCTACCTCTATTTGTCCCACCCTTTCCCGCTCACTTTCTTTCTAAGCTATCTGCCTTTCTTTTCCTCTACTTTATGCTCTAAGAAATACCACCTCACTGCGTCTCACTACATCACCCACTTCTAATTTCTGTCTTTCTTCATATCTAGGTATCTAATTAGCTTTGTATCATTCTCTACCTGTGTCTGTCTCCTTTCATACTCTCCACCATATCATAAACCACATCGTCACTCCCTCTTTTATCTTTACACCAAGACCACGTCACTCTGTCTCGATCAAATAGCCTTTCTCTCTCATTCTTCTCTATTTATCTATCCTTATCAGTCTTTCTCTACGTCTATCTCATTCTTTCTCTATTTCTTTCCTACGCATCCTCTCTTCATCGCTGTGGTGACTTACCACCTTCTCGACGAAAGCGACACCTAGCGGGAAGACCACCAAATTAATCACCAGTTCAATTAAGGATTGTTGCTTTCTGTTGTTATCATAACTTATAAATAAGAATGTAATAGCGGTTTAACAGCGCTCGGAAGGACCCCAACAACTGGTGACCCCGACGTGATACTCATCATGGATGAGGCTAACACCAGCAATCAGCCTCAGGAACAGTCACAGGAGTATCCGCCGTGGGTCCGATACTACGCATACCGCCCTTCTGGAGGAGCGACCCTGCCCTATGGTTTACCCAGATAGAAGCCGTCTTCGCTACGTCAAGAATAGCATCAAGTTCTGCTAGATATCAACTGGTTTTCGCCAATCTCGAATCGGCACAACTACAACAACTGACTGACATCCTGCGGAATCCTAGCAAGACACCGTACGAAGACTTGAAAGCCCGCTTACTTAACACTTTCACTTTCCTCGAAAGTCCCACCCTCACACCGCCTTACGAGGGGCCATATGAAGTCCTAGCACGAAGCAAGAAGACAATACGAATACGACTGGAAAACCGGGAAATCACCGTATCCATAGACAAGGTGAAGCCAGCATACCTGGCTTGCGACTTCACCTCGTCAGCAACAGACACCCAGCCGACCAACACGGAAACCGATCCTGCACCACAGACGTCGTCACGACCGAAGGAAACAGCTTCAACTCCAACGCTCGTCACTCGGTCCGGAAGGATAGTTCGGAAGAAGACCATGTACAACGTTTAAACCGCGGCGGTGACGCTTTCGGGGGGAGCTATGTGGTGACTTACCACCTTCTCGACGAAAGTGACACCTAGCGGGAAGACCACCAAATTAATCACCAGTTCAATTAAGGATTGTTGCTTTCTGTTGTTATCATAACTTATAAATAAGAATGTAATAGCGGTTTAACAGCGCTCGGAAGGATCCCAACAATCGTTTTAAGTCCTCAACCTTTTTCCATCTACTTCATGCTCTATCAATTGTATCTCGTACTGTCTCACACCATCTTGTTCGCTTTTTCGTCCTCTCTCCCTTTATCTCTTCCCCCTCAACCCATTCAACTCTGTCCATCCTACAATTATCTGCCACGCTCCCTCTCGCACTCTCTCAGTCCGTCTGACCTTTCAACGGCTAACCTTATTCCCTCCTCTTCTATTTGCTCTAGCAATTCAACCCTCTCTATCTTCGTTTCTCCAATAAACAACACTCGTGCTCTGTCAATTTTACCTCTGTCTATATCTCTCCAAAACTCCTTGTAGCTATATTTCCTCCTCACACATAAAAATACTCACTTATCATCACCACTGGTATCTTTGTCTTCACTGTTGCTCTCTGTATATATCAATCTGTTTAGAGGAGATTTGTCGACGAGATCTCATCACGCACTAATGGAGCAAGCGTACACCACTTACAGAAGCAAGGGAACTCTCGACAGCACATCTCGCACTATCAAAAACCGACGTGGCTGCCAGCTACACGAGTCTCTACGTTACTGACTTCAACGGTCTGTTCATACGGCTAAGCTACACCCGCCATCGGGCTCCAAATACTCCTCAAAACATCGGCCTATGAGATTTCAGGTCAGTCGCTTTTCTAGATACAGCCCAAGGTAGCGGATTTTTGTTACACTAGAATGGTGGGAGAGCAATTCGACGGAGAGTAGAGGTGTGTGGTGATTAGTGGCCGTTAATCGATATTTATTTAGAAATCGTGAGATGCGGTCTGGTGTGATGTAGGTTTCAGAAAAACATTTTCTTTATCGTGCCAACGTTTCGATCTTTATTGAGATCATCTTCAGGGCCTGGGATTTACAAACATTGTTTACATATAACAATTACATTTTGGATGTGGAAAAGAGAGGCATTTAGCTTTCCTTTTCCTATTTATCCCTTTCTATATAATCCTGAAAGGATAATCTGGCCGAACAATTACCTACATATTTTTTCCCTTCGTCGGCTCCTTTCACCTCAAAGAAGCCGACGCCATATACAAAAATGTCTTTTCTCTACCGATATCCTTCCCCACCCCTTCAAAATCCAACGTATATAAACACAAAATAGCAAAATCTCACTGGCACTCTCAACCCAGCACGCAAGAATGGCACAATTACACAGAAGACAAACACTTTGAGTGAGTAGAAATACTTTGATTGAATATATAAAAAATATATTTTGCATTGTATAAATTCACTTTTTCACATCCAAAATGTAATTGTTATATGTAAACAATGTTTGTAAATCCCAGGCCCTGAAGATGACCTCAATAAAGATCGAAACGTTGGCACGATAAAGAAAATGTTTTTCTGAAACCTACATCACACCAGACCGCATCTCACGATTTCTAAGAAAAAAAAGAAGGAGAGTAGAGGTTATGTTTGGTATTTTGTGGTGTTGCTTGATTCTCCATTTTTTTACCTATTCTTCTAGGAAAGACAGGTGGGTCTTTATGGTTGAGTGAACTATAACGAGATCGGAATTGGAGTATAGAATGGCAGCGTATGTTAGGCTATGACGTGATGGGTCGACGACCCTGGGGGACCCCACCGTCCTCCTTGGAACTACTCCAAAGCCTAAACTACCTGTCGGCTAGGCAGGACATGCAGATGAGGAGGTTTGTAGAGAGTATTACAGTAAAACCCCAGACTCGATGGTTCGACATCAAAAAATCATCGAGCTTCACTAAGGCACTGTTGGGAATTATATTAGAAGATTCGAGGATGGGGAGTATTTGCTTATAAAAGAATATTTCAAGTTTATTAAGAATTGGCAGTCAACTGATGAGGAGGTAGTAATTCGGATGGTGGTCTGTGGGTTTAGGGCTTGGCTGAACCATGGAAAACTTCCCCTGCGTCGCGAAGAGGATGGAAAAATAATCTAATCTGTTGAGATTTGTCAGGTTTGGGGATTGGGCAAACTATATTCCTTCCATTGTATTGGAACGTTTATGATTGGCCTTTAAAAATGGTTAAGAAAATATTGCTATTTTTAAGTTCAACAAGGTCAAATTCAGGAGTTTTTTTTGAGTGGATGAGTTTTTAACAGTATCCTTAACACCTGCTGGGAGAAAGTGTTTCGGAAGGAAAGGTTGAATGGTAAATTAAAAATTAAAATTAAAGTTTTTCATCGTTGCGAGTTCTACATAATGGACGAGGCTATGAAAGAATAACATAGAGGCAGGGAAAATTATTAAACTTTTTTATTTTAGGAATTACATTTTACACATTAATTAAATATTCGTAATACTGAACATTCCATACTCCGTAACGAGTTATCGACAAGAGAAAATGATTTAAAAAATAAAATTAGCTTTATCATCACAAATATACATAACAACGGTAATTGTAGTTTAAGTCTATTTAACTAGAAAATAAATTAAAACAGTCTTTGGGATTAGGGCGAATGGAGACGAATTTGTTAAAATTTTTTTGTGTTTCATTTATTTAAATTTTGGGCATCGATTCACTTGAGCCTCAACGCCGGCGGCCGAAACGCAAAAATATATGATCCGTCATCTGGTCTTGCTTCTTGACTTTATCGTCAGCTCCCTCTGCAAGCATCGCTGTAAAAAATAGAGAAGAAAACATTCCTTAGTAATATATAGATGTAAAATAATATCTATAAAATTTATAGTTGCTTAGTAATTCTTTCTACTGAGAAATCTTGATTTCGGAATATATATTACATACTTTTAGCCAAACCTCTAATAAATAACTTTTTTTAAATTATTAATATTATTATTTACACCTCCCATTTTAGTTACGATATAGTAAATTTGGTAATTCATATGTATAAAATTATAAAATTAAACATGATGGGAGAAGGTGGAGGTGTCACACCCTCACTCTGATCGATATCATCTTTATGCTGTGCATAGGTCATTTATTCTTCATACGTGAATCTTTTTTCTAGGAGTATGCATGCAATGGTGCTTTACTGGCCTTAAATGACAGCTTCGATCATAAAAACATGGCAATGGCTTTGCAAATACCATTCAATAGCACGCAGGTAAGTTTTTTCTACCTCTTCTCGAAGTTCTAATTACCAGGTAACAACAAAAATTAATGAATCCCCGCTATCAATCAGAAGTGGGTAGCAGATAAATATGTCCTCAAAACCTTTTCCTTACACCACCAACTCTACCAAAAAATCCACAATTTGATGATCGAAGTCCTAACATCCCCTTATTGGATTAAAAAAAAGCCCCCAATTATTAGCACCTTAGGGTGGGAATGCCCCAGGTTATTCCAATCAATTCACGTGAATAAATATCTACCCCTATTCAATCTTGAATTCTTCTCAACAATGCAAAGATCCCGGTTAATTATTCTACCAGATTTTTCCAAATTCCCGCTCAATGAAGTAAACCAAAGATTCCGCGAACTCATCCACGAAAAGTGGCCCAACGCGACTCCCATATTCACAGACGGTTCTAAAATGGATGGAAAATCGGGTGGGGCATACTATGACTCTCTCAATAATAAACATGCATCGTACCGGTTACCAAATGAGTCCTCCTCGTTTACTTGCGAAATGTATGCAATTCTGTTGGCTCTTGAATACGCGGAATATATTGAAGACAATCAGGTATTAATTTGTTCGGATTGTAGGAGTGCCTTATCCAGCGTCACGACCCCAAATCTTACCAAATCATATGGTACGGAATTGACCGTTAAAATTATAAATAAAATAAATGATCTCCGGTATAAAGGAAAGCAAATTCTATTCTTATGGGTAAGAGGCCACTGTTCATTAAAAGGAAATGAGAAAGCCGACGATTTGGCCAAGTCAGCTACCAAAAAATCAGAGATAGAAAAAGTGTTGAAAATATCCCATTACGATGCCATCAATGTTATCAAAAGTAGACCGATTGCACAGTGGCAGAATAGATATAGATCATCAAGCACTGGACAATGGTATAAATCAATCTTTCCGAAGTCGGATGCGTTCCTTGGTTCACCAAAGAAACGTTCGAAAGGCAAGCCATTGTTACAATAGGCAGACTACTGTCAAACCACTGCATCTGTAATGCATACTTACACATGATAGGAAAGAAAGACAGTGATCTGTGTACCGTATGCAACCTAATAGATAATGCGGAACATATAGTGTGGCATTGCAGAAAATATGATGAAGAAAGGAAGATTATGTTCGGTGAGATAGACCAGTGCGAAATAGCAAAACCTTATAATTATAAATTCTTAATATGTACAGAAGACTTCGATGTTTATCGGGCTCTGGTCTATTTTTCGTCAAAATAATAATAATAATAATAATAATAATAATAATAATAACAAACATGGCTGAAGACAAAAGGTCAATGCAAAAAAAAAGTACAGTTTTTCATTGTCTAACATGATAATTAAGCATGATGGGAGAAGCTATCACCTGGTGACACCCTCACACTGCACCCACACACACATCACTGAAGCAAATGCCTAGACCATTACCTCTTCAGCCGACGTTGAGGATTTCCAGGTACAGTGAGTGTGGAAAGTTGTTGAACAAGGGGGTTTTGGTTTACAGAAAGGGTATTGTGGAATTTCTGATCTGTTCTTACAAGGTCATGAACGAGTAGAATATGGTCAGTATGAATGGTTTTATTGAAGACGTAGAAGGGAGCGCTAAAGATTTTTCTTAGGATTTTGGATTGGAGAGACTGGATATGGAATGAACCGGAATGTTTGGTTGAGCCCCAAACTTTCACCCCGTAGGCCCGTATCGTAAGAATGAGAGTTTTATATATATATATAATGCAGGGTGGGCGACGAAGTCCCGAGGGGTTAAATACCTGGGTAGAGTCGTACACCATCCCTAAAAGGTCCGGGACTTGGTCGGCTCACATGTCCTGCATAAACCTCTTGGACCTGTTCACAAACCCAAAGATTTTGGACCATTTAATCTCGGGGAGTGATTTGGTGATGTCCTCTCCTTCAAAGATTTCAAATCTAGACCTAGCATACCTATCACACCCTGCGAGGTAGTGCCTTGCCGTTTCTTCTTTTATTTCGCAAAAACGGCAAAAGGGATCTGGTAGGATACCCATTACGAAGAGGTGTCTTCTCAGTGGGCAGTGGCCCGTCAGGATACCTATCAGCCTCCTAATTCCCTTCCTTGAGATAGAGAATAGCCATTTCGATTCTGCTGGTTTGATCGCTTTAACAAACTCTTTTGATTTCACGTTAGCCTTTTATCAATGGTTGTGGGTTTATTGTTGGTTTTGGTGAGAATTATGACCAAGAAGTTGATGTTGTTTTCATTTTCTATGGTAAATGTAATATTTTTATGTATTGTGTTAACGTCCCTGAATCCGTTTGCTGAGGAGTTGTCTGTTATGGCATGCACATTGCCGACGTATCTAAAAAGATGGAGCATTTTGTTTTCAGCCATTATTTGTCAGAAATGGTAATGGAAATGGCTCGACCACAAAAGTTTTATAGTTTAATATTTTTGTTTTCTTAAGGTAAATATATAGAACTAAATTATCATAAATTTATGTAAGAAATAAATGAGATGTTTGAGGAAGGGCATTAGTTTCAGATAGATTAGTCTGACTTCATTTAATAAGACTAATCTTCGTGAGAACCGGAATCGTTGAAAGTAATTTTATTCGAGAATGACGAGTGGGACTTACGTTGATAATTTAGCTGATCGTCCATGTAAGCCTGCAGCGCGTTTGAGACCTGGTACAAAGCTGCGCAGATGTTTCTCACCCTGGGCGGCTGCTCCAGGAGGGCCGAAGGGGTGCAATCGGGGCCTGGGGCGCTAAAACACCCGACGACGACGACGGCTGCTACGAAAAGTGTCACCCAAAATGTGTTCATTCTGGAAAACAATATTAAATTATTGCCGATATAGATATTTATATAATAAAGCTGAAATTAGATGTTAAAGAAGTTGTGATATTTCGCGAGGTCTGATAAACCTGAGTTTAATCCATTAAAACAACAAGAGAGAAGAAATGCTTTATAGAATTTACTTAATGGAGGCTGTCTAACAAAAACAGAAATACGCTTAGTTCGGCATTGAGCAGTTCAAAATAATAGGTAGGAAGCTGAGTCAAACTTGGTCAACAATCAAGCCGAATGAGAGGCTTGAGATCTACGAGATGAAACCGTAGCTTGGTTTCGATGCTCAAATTTCAGACTTCAACGACGTCCATTTAAACAAGATGCAACCATTGGTTTATAGTAATCAGAAAGCATGATACTGTCCCGAAGACATGAATTCACCCTTAAAAGTAGAGGTCACTTTAGATATTTGGTAGTCACCACTCAATTTGGTAACTAGGCAACAACAATAGGAGTAAGTGGGATAGAATCGGGAACTTTTCCGTTAATGTGCCTCCGCCCCATTCGACCACGCTCTGTGACAGAGAGCGAGACAAGGTCAGGTCAGTTTCTGCTCTTATCCTATCTTATCTTATGTTTTGAGTCAAAGTGTATTGTTGTATACCATTGTATTGTAAGTATTGTACTGTAATGGTATGTATTGGTGTATTGTGTTGTATACTAGTTGTCAAAGAGTTTGGGTTAAATAAAACTGAACTTTCTCACGCTATACGACGCTGTTTAAACCAAGGAAATGGGCGTTCTTCCATTAGCTGTGCGATGTTCAGGAGGACACGATGCGAGGCTGCATTTGACAGGATCTCGTGACAAGTGGAGGTGCTACCAGCGTGGATGCAAGGCGGAAATGGCGTTAAGAAGTAACTCATATCTAACTGGGTTAAGGCGGCCATATTCGACTATCGTGCTGTTCATATATGCTCAGGTATACGAAATGGTAATTGTTATATTCTGTGAAAGAGAAGATATAAATCATAACACATTCGTTGATTGGTGCAACTACATGCACGGAGTCTGTGCGAACTCTATTTTGCGCAGACATTCGCGCAGTAGTTGTGAACATTGACATTGCACTGTGGAAATTGATGAATAGCTGTTTTCGCGCCGGAAAAACAAAACTGGCAGAATCTTACCACAGCAGTGGTTTTAGATGGCATTTGACGCGTAACGAGAGAAAGATTTCTAGCCGCCGGACAGATCAGCCGCCACTCTCATCCCCATAATTCGTGATCGGATTGCTGCTGGGTCTGTCATCATCTCCTATCATTGGAAGACATACGAAACATTATCCCAGAATGCTAGTTTCCGCCATATGACAGTGACTCTCTCAATTTTATCGACCTGATCACCTGGGCACATACGCAATTCATTGATAGTGTATGGGGAAAAGCAAAGGCGAGGAACAAATGGCGGTGGGGTACTCGCCGAAGTTTATTGGACTCCTATCTATGCGAATTTATGTGGCAGTAGTCATGTACGGCAAGAAATGTGGATGTTTTCGAAGACATCCTTAGTGAAATAGTCCAATTTTCGCCCCCAGGGACCTTTATTACCAATTTATACTCTTAATTATTATTACACGGATTACCTAAAATAAAATGTTTCAGTATTTATGATTTCCTATAAAGGAGCATTACCGGAGAGATCTTAGCGGTCGAGGGGGGCGGAGGCACATTTACGAAAAAGTCTTGGATATAATCAATAATAAAGTTGAGTATAATATAATAAAGTAGATTTGTAAAAATTAACAAGGAAATTAACAAGTCAAAGGCTGACGCAACGGTACAGTGGGACACAGTAGCTCGGTCCGATCATTTATATCTACTGTTTTGGTATATTTCATGCTACGACCATGCTGCAGGTTCATCGCCCCGTTGAAATAAAGAAGAATGTCATATTAAGTCACTGCTTTAGATGACGGCCATCCTGATTTACCTATCGCAGTTTCTCTGACATGACAGTTCAAAATTTATACTTGAAAATGGGGAGAAAGAGTGATCGATTTTTTTCATGAGCATGTAAAAACTACGTTTTTGCCCAAAAATCGCAAATAACTTGAAAACAGCTGAGAAATCTGGAAAGTGGAAGCTGTCCATTTGAAAGTTTATTAAAATTTTCTATCGATTGCTAAAAGGCGTCACACCGGGACGATTTCCTGGCTCCATAGCTCAATTCAAAATTTTCGTGAAAAATGCAAAATTTGACACGTTCCAGAATTTTTGACTTTACTGATGAAGGACTGAAGCTAGGAAACCATTTTAAAAAAGTCTTGTTCAACGTAAAATTTTCTAAAAAATCAGTTCTAGGGCAGGTCTGTGAAAAAAAGGCTGAGCAAAATGCATTTCCAAAATTGCCATTTTTTCAGGCAAAAACCAGGTGGTCGGTTTTTTTATGGGAAGTGTATTTACGTTGTTTGGTGAGGAGAAAGAGTCGGGCGAGTTCAATTCGTAAAGAGAGTTGCCCAAAGGTTCCTTTTTGTAAATAGCAAATCTGATTTGTCGGCGAGAAATCCTTTCATGTTTTTTCTCACAGGTATAATAAATGACAAAACTTGATTAATCTACAAAGTTAAGTGATAATATATTTCTTTTCAACCTGCTCTCATTATCTTAAGGATTTTTCAGCCATGAGACTCTGCAGATACCAGATATAAGGGGCAGTGAATGAGTGGCTACACAGGTGGAGCGCTAAAGTTACACCTACGATGCCGCTGGATAACCAACGATTGAACCTGAAACACCTGCAGCCGGGGCACTACATGTCACAGTACGGTCATTGCGGTTTCTACATAGCTTCAATTTAGAGGAGTCGCCTCTGGGCGAATATGGGGAAGAAGAGATGGTGATCCAGGTCATCATGCGGTGCTCTAACCAATGAGACCCTAATTATTATATAATCTACCAATTTTTACAGTGCAGAAGACCGAAAGGGCGATCGAAACCAAAAAAAAACTTGCACAGCTATGTTCGAATATGTCGCTGAGAACTAAAAGGGTCGCCAGTCAGAAGGAAACACGTATGACTGAATAGATGTCATCTGCACATCTTGCCTGAGTTTACATCTAATTCTATGCTGTAGTCAATGTATTTTTATATATAAGTGAGGTGCTTGCCCAACCGGGCCACCTCCGCGAGCAGCAATAGCGACCTACCGGCAATAAAGAACCTCCGCGAAAGCCCAAATGGCCAAGGTGCAAAACAATGCGAAAGATCTGTATGGTCTGCAGTTATGTGCAGTTATTCTTAAGCTTGCTCAGTTTGATAGATGATAACTTACTCTCAAACAACACACTACATATTTATTTACCGTCCTTTTAAATGAGATGAGACTTATTTACAATGTAAGCTAGTTAGTACGATGTCCCAATGGAAAAGATTGACAGTAAAAAAGATGCAAAGCATTTCACGGGTGTCGGTTTGGAAAGTGGAGCAAAGGGGATTATAATAGAGTTTCGTTAAAAAGCCTTATTTCACGGACGAATAAATTCCCCTTTTTGAACTATTTAAATAGAGATATATCTCGGAAATTAAATTAGTTTTTACAAAGAGATGCGAAACTCTTCTGCATTCCGGCTTGAGAGAAATGTTGCTGATGGTGTCGAAATATGCATTTCACCTTAACCTTTTATTTGTTATATCTATGTTTGGTGTTATTGTCATTCTTAGAAAATGCAATCGTATTATAATTCGATTTCATTGTGAACAAAGCACTTGGGGAAATGTCAATTAATTAAATCAATACTGTTTCAATCCAATTGAATTAATTAATAAATTAGTATTTATAAAGTATAATTAGCGGATTTGATGTACGGTTTATGTCGATAGAATCGTCATTCATCAACGTTTTGTTTTCTCGGTTATATGATTTCTAATTTTCAAACGTGAAAAGTAATAAATATTCTTTATGTAAGGTATTGGTTGTGATAGAAAAGTCAGCGTCACAAGCGGGATTCGAACCCACGACCTTCGGCTAAATACGCCGCTGCTCTACCATTTGAGCTATCGTGACTTCGATCGACTCGGACACCAACTTCCCATCTCAACCCAACCTTTCGAATTTTCCCTCCGAGTGGATCGAAGCCACGATAGCTCAAGTGGTACAGCAGCGGCGTATTTAGCCAAAGGTCGTGGGTTCGAATCACGCTTAGGACGTTGACTTTTTATCTTAACCAATACCTTACATAGAGATTAATGAATTGAAAGATATTATTTGGTCAATCGTACCACGAAATCTAATAGATTTAGTAAGAAATATTATTCAGTTTAGTGTACATAAAAGACAAATCCAGACTTTATCCGAAAAATGACACCTCTGATAGGCATAACCAGCAATATATGACGAATTATTTTATATATATTTTTTTATAAATAATAATTTTTTCTTGTTTATTTTATAATTTGATTATATGTACTGTAGATTGTTGAACATATACTGCGGCATGGAATTTTATTTTATTTTTTTTTTTAAAGAATGTTTTCGATCTGATGACATGAGTACTATACAGTGTTAATTACATTAGTTTATCTTGCAAAAATCTTTTTGTTTACTTTAGTTTTTAGGACAATACATATGAGTAAAATTATACTTTGACTTTGATTCGATTTCCAGCTACCTACTTCTTTGAAAAAATATTTTTAATTACTGCCCAGGGTAACAAATAAATCGTAAAAATACTGTACTAAACTACAATTAATTAAGGTTTTTAGTTGAGATAAAAAAGTCAATGGCACGAGCGGGATTCGAACCCACGATCTTCGGCTAGATACGCCGCTGCTCTACCACTTGAGCTATCGTGACCTCGATCCATTCGGACACTAACTTCCCATCTCAACCCCACGAAAAATGGCAAAAAGGAGGGAAAATTCAAAAGGTGCGATAGCTCAAGTGGTAGAGCAGCGGCGTATCGAGCCGAAGATCGTGGGTTCGAATCCCGCTCGTGCCATTGACTTTTTTATCTCAAGTAAAAATCTTAATTAA